ACAGCGCCAGCCCCGAACAGGTTCATAGAGGGCCAAGGCCACAAGGGAGCGCTGTGATCCTCTAGTATGACCTCCGGGGCAGGTAGCCCAGGCTTGAATTCATTCCAGGAGCAGATCACTGATCAGCCAGCCCCTCTGGGCTTTTGATGGACAAGGATGGAGAAACCACCCCGCCACTGGGGGAATTGACAGGAGGGGGGTGAGCAAGACACGAGACGTCGTTCTTCCGCTCTGCTTTGCGCTGATTCGGCCTCCGCTGGAGTCTTGTGTCCAGTTCTGGGCACCACAATTCAGGAAGGACGTGGAGAAATGGGAGAGGGTCCAGAGAAGAGCAACAAGAATGATTCAAGGGCTAGAGAACGTGAGCTAGGAGGGAAGACAGAAGGAATTGGGTTTGTTTAATTTAGAAAAGAGAAGACGGAGAGGGGACATGAGAGCGGTTTTCAAGTGTCTAAAAGGGCGATATAAGGAGGAGGGAGAAAAATTGTTCTCTTGGCTTCTGAGGACAGGACAAGAAGCAAGGGGCTTAAACTGCAGCAAGGGAGGTTTAGGTTGGACATTGGGAAAAACTTCCTGCCTGTCAGGGTGGTTAAACACTGGAATAAATTGCCCAGGGGGGTTGTGGAATCTCCATCCCTGGAGATGTTTAAGAGCCGGTTAGACAGGCATCCACCAGGGATGATCTAGACCATAGGTTCTCAAACTGGGGGGCATGACCCCCTTGGGGGGGGCATGAAGAAATTCCGGGACGGGGGCGCAACACGACCCAGCTCCCCCGCATCATTTCCTTTCCTCCCTCCCCCAAGAAAGAGCCCGGTCCATCCAGTAAAAAAATTCCGAAAATGAATGGGCAGACTTCAATATGGCCACCTTAAAAGGGCAATGCCTGCTCTGCTCTTAAAAGGGTAACTTTTTTTTTTTTTGTCAACAACTTCTCTCCTCCTCTTTTTTTACACTGGTTCTAGGAATTAAAGGGGCTGCAACTGTTTTTGGCCCCGGTCAGTTCCTTTTTTTCCCCCAACATGTTTTGCTGCTATAATTTTTTGAGAGGGGAGGCGTAGGGTTTCTCAAAAATCGAAAAGGGGGCGTTTTGTCAAAAAGTTTGGAAACCAGTGATCTAGGCGGTGCTTGGTCCTGCCATGAGGGCAGGGGACTAGACTTGATTCCTCACAAGGTCCCTTCCAGTTCTGGTATTCTATGATTCGATGATTCCTTGCCTGCCTTGGAAAAACACTGTGCCGTTCTCCTGACCCTGATTCAAAGGGTACAGCTCTGCCGTGAATGTGTAGCAGCATCCGCCCCTCTGCACCAGACGCGTAAGGACCAGGGACTGGTATCTTTGTATCTTTTAAGCATATCTTTAATGGCCAAGCCTGCCTTGGAAAAAGGCTTTTTCTTCTCAGCAGCATTAATGACAAATGTGAGCAGATGCTGGGCAAATGTTTCTCTCGTCTCAACAGTGCTGAGTGCCTGGAATTATTTGCTTTTCAGGAAACCTTTTATTCCTCTGGCCAACAGCTGATCCTTTCCGAGAAAGTGCCAGATGGTAGCGAGCGGCTCAGTCTGCGTACACTCACTTTCCGCTGCCTCTGCAGGGCTTGGACGGAGAATGAATGAGATCCCTGGAGCAGTGAAGCCAATTTAAACTTAAATTTAAACGTATCTTGCTCCCCTTCTTATCAGGGCAGCTCCTGTTCTTTAATGTACCAATCCTCACGGCAGCCTCCCTCAGGTCCTGTCCCAGCAGTTACCTGTCCACTGGCCTGGCGCCTTTCAGTTTCCGCTGCCTCTGCAGGGCTTGGACGGAGAATGAATGAGATCCCTGGAGCAGTGAAGCCAATTTAAACTTAAATTTAAACGTATCTTGCTCCCCTTCTTATCAGGGCAGCTCCTGTTCTTTAATGTACCAATCCTCACGGCAGCCTCCCTCAGGTCCTGTCCCAGCAGTTACCTGTCCACTGGCCTGGCGCCTTTCAGCCCAGCGGGTATCATATGTAGGAGGTGCCTTGCCAGTGGCCACTGCATGTGGCTTAGATACACGTTTTAGGCCCCAGCATACATCAGACATGTCACAACTTGGTTCGGTGATGTGACAGGAGCCCCCAGGGGTTAAAGCCGATTACCCAGTGAAAACTACCGGATGATGGTGAAACAAATGATTTTTTATTAAGTAAAACGATTCTTTTATTAAAACCAAATGACTTTAAAATGAGTTTTTAACAAGTAATTGCCTCGTGCTTTTACAGGAGGGAAAAACTGAACCAAACTTTGTGATTATAATTCGATTATATTAAATCACTCTCTCTGATTCGCTTAAGGCAGCGCAGCATGCAAGCAAAAAATACAAAAGCAAAGCCAATATAATGATAATAAAAACTCCATCCGCAGCCAGCCCCTCTATGGCTTCAGGTGGAGTTCGTCACTAAACTACCTCTACAAATTAACAATTCCCGGGTTTCTATTTTAGGGCAGCAGGTGGAGTTAGTCATTAATCTACCTCTACAACTTAACAACTCCTGGGTTTCTATTTCTAAAACTTATACTTGGCCTAAATACAACACCGTTACACAACACAAGATTATACAATTTACATAGTGAGGTTAATAGAACTCAGTTACACTCTACAGAATTACACAGTGAAATTAACACGATTCAACTCTTAACTAAGCGATATTTAAACGATACTTACAAATCCAGCAACGATAACAGTGTAAAGACACGCTAGAACTCGGAGCATGCTCAGAACTCGCGCACCCCTATTTTTGACTCGAGGGGTGGGGAGGCAGCCTCAGGGTGATCAATCCTTCAGCCGGGCAAAAAGACACGTGCCCTCAATACATGGAACCTACCTGAACAAAGGGGTCGAGGGTCTTTTATAACATAACCTGATGTCCGGTACCTTATTAGGGTCTGTTCCCTGGCTGGGCCTGATAAGCTGGTAATGAGGTAATGTGCAATACTGCCCTATTGGATTTTTCATGATGCCTGCCTGATGGCCCTGTGGACGGTGCCGGGTGTGGGCATGGTCAGTGTGTATGGCAGTTGTGTCTTATCTCCCTATGCCTACCTCCCTGCCTTCAAGGACCGGTCAAGAGAGTCTTATTTATCTCTTGCAGCTGTGCTCTATCTTTTCATGCTCACCTCCCTGTTCTATGATGCCTACAAGGTTAGATTCCGTTCACTGAAAGCTGCATTGTGTGCTTACAAGTTATGCTTTCTCAGAGTGTCAGCAGCCTGCATTTTCTGTGAGGGGCCTTTGTGTGGCAGGATGGGCAATGCGCGCGCGAGGCCGTGGCCAGAAGGACCCGCTCTGCGACAAGACAGAGCTATATCACGGGAGAGAGGTTTCCCTCCTGACCCCACCTAGCCTGGTGCCCTGGAGCATGAGGATCCGCAACCCCCGACACGCCTGTCTTAGCAAGTGACACCGCAGATGTTACTCCTGCTGCGTAAATCGCCCTTGGGGAAACCACAGAGCACGCCCGTGCTGATGGGCTAGAACTGAAACACCCAACTGTAAGCTGTAGTCTGACTGTCCGTCCGTCCGTCCCCATCCACACCCCTCCTCTACCTATGCAGACCTGCCCTCTTCTGCCTGTGTCCGTCTCTACCTGGCGTCTCTGCCTCTCTCCGGCTGCTCCTCTATCAGGGACACGGCCAAGCGGCCCTTGCCCCTTGGCCGTCCAGGCACCGAGGTTGGAGGCAGAGCAGCAGGAGGAGCTGGTGGCTATAGGGAGGCCGGTGATGTCCAAGGGCCGGGCTCCTGCAGGGGTTGGAGGAAGAGTCTGCGATTTGGTGCATCTGAAGCCCATGGAGTGTGGGTGCAGGCCCACTCCTTAGGGCCGGACGTGCCCGGAGCCCAGGCGTGTCCAGACCCTGGGGAGCTGGTCGATACATGTCAGGGTCAGCGGAGGCCTCTGGGACCTAGTCTGAGCTGTGGACAACAGGCCGGGGGTGCCACGCCCAGATTGCTTCCGCAAGCCCCTGTCTGGTGGTCGCGCTCGAGCGCGTCCTAGAGGGAAACAAGGCTCTTGCTTTGGACAGTCCCCGATGGAGCATCGGCCCTGCCCCTGGACGGGGCATGTGCTCGGGGACAGAGGCTGGGGGCTGCTCCGGGGTGTGGTTTGGCCCCGTCTCCCTCCCTCGCAGGCCGTTGCTTTGCATGCTGGGTAAATGTGCCCAGCAGCTACTGGTATCCCTCCCCTCCAGCGCTCCTGGTCTCGAGGGACCGGTGCAGCCCAAACACAGCTGGGGAGACCCCCTCTGCCGTATCCGCTTAGCCCTCCCCCCCTACACCCCACCCTGCGCCATGGCTCCATGCAGCAAGGGCATCCTCTGCTCTTCAGGGGCCCAGTGTGTGCCTGGGAGAGACTCTTGCTGCCCAGTCGGCCACCCCATGGGGGCTGTAGGTCGCTGCCTCCCTGGCTCATGGGCTGCGGGATCCATTCGCTCTGGGATGTTTAACACATTGTGGCTTTCTCTCTCTCTTTTCCCGTCCCCTCCTTTTCTCCTCCCCCCGCCCCGCTTCCTCCTGCCTTTCCTGCATGGGCTGCTCTCTCTTGTTTCC